TGAACTGGACACGTAAAAAGATATCTGCTTTTGTTAACTGCTGAGAGAGATCGCCTTTAGTTCATATCAATCTGCAATTAGTGACGTTATCAACCGCAAAGCTAAAAAAAAAATTATTATTTTGAATCTCAATAATTCAATTAGGTTCAAGAGTGAACACGTGACCTTTGCTAAAAATAGAACGAATTGGCTTCAAGATTTAGCTGTCTTTATAACCAATTATCACAAACATAATGCAAATTAAAAATGAAGATTTGGAAACAAAACATAGATAAAACCTAAGTAAATGTTACGTTTATATCTTATATGTACAGCAACTCATATTTAAAACTAAACTAAACTCAATGGCACAACAGCCCATAGAGGGCCCAGGTCTACTGTGCCCATCTCAGTTTTCCTGACCTTGGGCTCTGGGGTGCAGGAGCAGACGTTCCGGTTAGGTAGTCAGCCGAACGCAAAACCCCCCAGTGTTTAGTTCCCAAGCATGCTTGATACTCATTTATCGACCAACTGAAGTGGTGAAAGGCTGAGTCAACCTTGCCCGGCCCGAGGATTGAACCCAAGACCTGTGGCACAGGAGCGCGAAGCGCTACCACTCAGTCACCGGGAGTCCAACTCATATTTAAGCCTACAATTAAAATCACTTAAACATAAACATTTATTGCTAATATATAGCACAAATATATTTGTTATTTATTAAATTAAATAAACGAGTAAAACTATCAAAAAATAACAAAATTCACGGAGAATTATTTAAAGTTCAACTATTAACTTTAATTTATTTTTGAAGTAATATTTTTTTTTAAAAAATCTGTGACTAGTGAAAAATTTAAAATAAAATAATGGTAATAATAATACAAAGAAGATATTTATCTTAATTGTTCAAAAAATTAAAACAGTAATTGTAAAAAATTAAATACAAGAGCTATGATTAAAATAGTTTAAACTAGATTTAGATACCAATTGTCACAAATATAAAGCTAATTAAAATGGAAAATACAAATGGAAGAAAAACTTACAGAAAAATTTTAATATTAATTTCTCTAAATTTTTCATCTCCTAAATATTTTATTAAAAAGTCATGTAGATTCATACAATAAATATTATTTAAAGCTTAACATATATTGCTAATTTATCAGACAAACATTTTCATCATTTATTAAAATAAATTTGCATGTTATTAATGATTAAAGACATGAAAAACTTAGTCCAATGAAAAAATAGCATTTTTTCTCATAAAGGCTATATATCAAACTTTTGGTACATGTTCAATATGATTTATATTTCTACAAAATCATGAATAAACACTAGGGTGCCTAGATTTTTGAGCAAAAATAAGGAGAGAAAAAAAAACAAGTTAATATAATAAATGCCATTTTTCTTCAGAAGGCGTGCGATAAAAAAGAAGAACTTTTTTTCATAAAACTTGCATAAATATTGATAAAAAAAGAGCTGCACTTCTTTAGCTTGCTGAATAACTCCAGTATTATTATTCATTAAGACATCAATATTTAAAACTTGGCTGAGAAATATTGAATAAATTACAAAAGGTTGTGGTGTTAATGATTTTTCAATACTTTTACAAAGCGTTGATTGCTGTTTCGCCGATGTATTGATGCCAAACATTGCCAAAATGATCACAACTCGTAAAAAATAAAATAAAATATACAAGAAATAACCAACGTCATTAATGCTAAATAAGGTATTTATTCCAATACAAAATCTGAGTTTTACTTTTGAAAAGAAAAAAAAACAATAGTTTTTTTTTTGTTTCTTAATAACTTTCCTATATTCTGACAAAATCAAAGAGAAGCAATTAATTCTTTTTTTTTAACGGTGAAAATAAGTTCATTATTTTTAATCAAAATTCAAAAATAGTTTATAGTTTATTTTACATGTTGAAAGACTAATAATTATGTTAGCAAACATAAAAATTTTTAAAAAAGTTATGCAATTTTGTAATGCTTTACAATGCGGATATAAAAGCTGATTCCAGAACTTAACGTGTAGTTAGCACAAAATAATTAATATATTTAAGCTGAATCCTAGGCCATACATCTATGGCTAATCACTTGAACCTATGAGATTGATTTTTAGTACGTGAAAACCCAATCATTGGAACAAAAGTTATTCAGGGGTATATATTTTTTAGACAACTGTATAGTTATATATAATGTAACACAGAATACATTATATATAATGTATTCGATGTAAGTAATTATTTAAACAAATCATTGTAACCTTGGTAATTGTAAAACTGCCATATCTCAAATATGGCAGAGGTATTTTAATATATTTTAGATTTTCAGTTTTCCAATAGGGGTACGGCTCCCTAACTTAACTTTTCATCTTCTGTTTCATATTGGAATTAGTCTAATTTTTTAAATAGTAGAAATAATTTTTGTAGTTTTCATTTCAGTTTCTGATTTCGATTTAAATCAGAATAATTTCAAATCGATATCGTAATTTTTTAATTATTTAGCTCTGAAATTAGTACACATTTTGAATCAGTGAGAACGACAATCCTTGTAGAATTTTTTTTCAGCTTTCGATTTTTATTGAAAATAGTGCAATTTTTAATCTGTATTTATTTTTTTAGTTTAAAAAAAATATCTTGTGCTTTTTTTTAATTTTTATTTAGCACAGGAGCTTGTATGATTTTTAAATAGGCAAGAACAACGATCCCGCTAGTTCTTTTTTCAGCTTTCGATTGTTTGAGAGATTAATCGATTTTTTTTAATTGATAAGAGCAAATCATACTGTTTTTATTTTTCGGCTTATTATGAGCAATAAACTGAAATCAGTTGATTTTTTAAATTATTCAACTCATGTTTCTTCTTTGAAGTGTGACAAACATTGCATCATTATATAATTTTTAATTCTTTTCAAAAACGAGATATTTTTTAGTAATTTTAGTATAATCTTTATTTTACTTTTACTTCTGTTTATTTCTTCATCTCAAAATTTAAATTGACCCCTGTTTGGTGGGGAAAAAATAACAAATTCAGATTGCGGTGATCATAAAATTGCTGAAATTTGTATTGCCGTTCGGTACGGAACTCCAATTTAAATTAAAGCACTCCAACTAGTAAGAAAAGTGGTCAAAATCTATATTGCAAAATGTGCACTTTTTTAACAAACATACGATTCAGTTGAAATAAACATAGTAAAAAATGATAAATTTGACCCTTCTTTACAAACTTTCACTTTATTTTGAAATAAAACAAATATTAAAATACCTGAAAGATGAAAAAAAATGCTTTATACACGTAACATTGTAGAGCCTTTATGGTCATTATATTGTTTAAAGAATTTAGGTGATTAAATACAACAAACTTTTTAGTGGTTAGAAAACTTCATCTATAGCATTTAGAAAATAATTAGGGTAAATAAATTTTCCTTTTTTCGGAGTTTTAATTACTACTAGACTTTTCCGCTACCTGAACGATTACTTTGAATTAGAAATTAGCTTTATAATTTCAAATTTGTACCACTTAGAATTAAATAAAAATGCTGACCAAATTTCTAATAATGAAAATTTTAATTTCTCGACAGATCAACTGGTCTGCTAATTGTTAGCTCCAGAAAGTTAAATTTATCACAAAATAAATTTTATTTTTAAACGAATACCTCTTAAAGATCGAAATAAAAATACTTCATTCTCTATAAAAGAAAAGCAGACGATTTCGATACGAATTCTTTTTCTCTGCCACATTTGAAATGAAGCGAAAAAGGAAATTGTCGTCTGCAATTTTCATGGAATGTCGTTTTAATTACACTCTAATTAACAAAAGCATGAAAACGAGAATGGTTTAATTTCCTTCCTCCAAAAATCTCTCGTGTACTTTATTTCTTCTCTTTCTTATGGATCTTTGGTGACCAAAGACGAACCTTGATTATTTTATAATTGTTCCTGCGAAAATAGCGCGAGCACTATTGAAGCAAAAGTCTTTGATCTTATGGACAGAGTTTAAATTAATCTTTCCTTTTAAGTCGTAGGATTATTCTTTTTTCTTTACTTGGAAAACTGTAAAATGAAAAGCCAATTCATCTGCTTATTTGACTTTTGAGAATAATAAGAGAAGAACTTGAGAGAAGGAGAAGAAGCCATATTAAAAGATATTTTAGAACTTTAATTAAATACAGACTGCTTAATACATCAATACTTGTTCTTAATCACATTAAGTGTTTTCTTTTTCAATTTAGTCATTTTTTAATCTCTAACAATTAATTAAAAATGAAATATTTTACTAAATGAGTGCTACAATCTGGAAGAAACGACTATCTTTTCATTCAAAATGATGACTTTGAAGATTTTAGGAAATAATAGAATTGATATTTTATTAATTTTAATACACATTTGTTTTATTAATATTCTTTTGAAATGAAAGAATGATTAAAATAAAAATTTTCTTGCGTAACGAACATTCATGCGTTTACTTCTTTTTTTTTTCTCTATTCTTTCATGGCATACATTTGGTGACTTTTTACAAAAAGGTATTAAAAATAAATCAAGGTAAAGACAAACTAGGGGTTACGAAGATTGAATGATACAATAGAGTTCCATCAGCCATGAAGGCTCAGGAAATAGAGCGTTCGCCTTCCAATGAGGTGAACCGGGTACGAATCCCAGAGATGACTAGTCGATACAAATTCCGCATCCGGCTTGCACCAGCCACAGTGCTGACTTGAAATATACTCAGTGGTAGACGAATCATGGATTAGAGTCCCCTTGCCATCAGGTTTACCGTGGGAGGTTTTCGTGTTTATCCTCTCCATGTACCGCAAATGAGGGTTATTTCAATCAAACAAGTCCTCAACGATGGCAAATTTCTCCCAATACTTGATTCTGGAGTTCCTTGTCTTCTGGACTGAGTTCAAAATTACAAAGCTACGGAGTTGAACAGTAGTAGTCGTAAACCCAAAAATCGGGTCGGCTGATTAACGATGGTTATAAAATTTTAAAAAATTAACATTCCATCAAATTATAATAATTCTAGATTTTTAGGTGTCTTCAGGTTAATTGGGTACTTGCACTTTAGGAAGATGATCTCCCATACCCTCACATGTGACTTATGACGACAGCGTCAATTAATCTTTGTCAGCAAAATAATTCTTCCTCGTCTACTTCTTGTACTTTGTACTTCTTGTACACGTCTACTTCTTGTTTGTGTATTTTATTGTAACCTTGATAAATATTTTTTATACCAGGTTTATTTTTGTTTCATGTATCTGGCAACTTCTATGCATAATTAGTTTGTTCATCTTCCATATGGGTTCGTGCCCGTCTTTGTGTTAAGTCTCTGTGTAAATATATAGTGAAAGAATTGAAATCTTTGAGAAAGAATCTTTGTGAAAGAATTTAGAATGTGTCACTTAGGAGAATTGACACTTGACGGGCTGGGCTTATTTGAAATAGAATGGAAAGAACCGTTGCTAACGTAAACAAATGCCACGCTTCAACAAGCAATCAGGGTTGAGATACCTACACTACGTCACTTGCAGGTTGCCCATTATGCATTTTGAAGACAATTTCGATTTTTTTTTTTTTTTTTTAAGTAAGAAGCAAGCAAAGTGCTTGACTGCTCATTATTTTATAGTCAGATTGATTCATAAAGCCGGAAATGATAAAAATAAGAAAAAACATGAATTCAGTGTCAGAAAGTTAAAGTGTTATTCAGTTATAGTGCATCATTAGTGTTATTTTCTTACATAAAGTATTTTAAAACTGTAAGTTTTAGAAAATTGATTTGAATATAATTAATTAATGGAATAACTAATCCTGAGAGAAAAATAAATAAAAATTCAGAGTTTTAATTATGGAAAATAAAATGTCTTGAGTAATTGGATTATAACTTACAGTTTAATAAATAAATAGAAAAATTAGAAGCATAATGCCGAATAATAATTTGCAAAGCTTTACAATTTTGACCAAATTAAGTTGTTGAAATGGCATATAAAACCTTGTATGAGAATGTGACTAAACTCAAATGAGCATCGGCAAGCTTTATATTAACTTCTGAGTTATAATTAAAATGTATGAAATAAAATGCATCTAGATCTAACTTTTACTGAATCCTTTTTCATTGGAAATGTTAAAAAGACTGGAATATGCTATATCCATCTATATATAGCAATGTACCCATCTCTAAATATCTTATACAGCAATGTATCCAACAATAAGCAATAAGAAAAATTTAGAAATTCATCAAAAAACTTTTAATTTTTCTTTCACCAGTTTTGGTTATTTCATAAAAATTCTATTTGCATAGCAACTAATTTAGTGGTATGTTATAATGATTCCGGCACTCAAATAAGTATAAAAAATTTGTTTATACAGATTTTATACTATTTTTCTTGTTAAATGTCGTGATATTTTTAATAAGTCTTTAAATGTTTTTAAAAAAAATTGCTAAATTTTTCATTGTTAAAATTTATACAAGATACTAATTATTCTGTATTGCAAACCACTGTAATAGATTTTTAATATCTGCAATGTGTGTTTAAACTTAAAATACAAGATGAGCTATAATTCACCTAATGTAAGGATATCTTAAAAGGAAGGGTAACTTATAAGAGGCCTTTTAAAAACCGAAGAACATTTTGTATTTCCTCCACATTGAAGAACAACCTTTTTAGGCTATTTTGAAAGATATCGTAATATCTTATGGAAAGCTCTGTTACCTTCTTAGAAGATTTTGTCAGAAAAATCAACTGAAAATTCATAGTTGACAGTAAAATACACACAATTGAAACCATTAAAAAGATGATTATCCATTTAATAAACTTAAAGCACATTATAGGAGAAAAATAAACGTAGCATTTGTTTGTCTGCTTGAAATGTTGTATTTAATCCGAACCTAGATATGTTTATGAGATGTTTTTTGCCTTTTTTAAAAATTATTTTTTTCTAAGTGTTTTTTAAGAGGGAAACGTGGTGTTACCAAAAACCTTATCATATCTCATATCCCACATTTACTAATCGATTAATCTTAATCCGATATCGATTAATCTTAATGCTTCTCTGCCAAGTAACTTGTTTTATTTAAACGGTTTAATAGATTAATACGGATCAATTATTTAGAATTCCCCACAATGAAAGTACAAGAAATTTTTTTTGTAACTGGTTTTATGTAAAGAGTGCAACTGAAGGTGTTACGAAATGGCAACCTTAAAACAATCTTATTACTATTACCAATATTAATCAATTTAAGATTGGATGGCATATATGGTTAATTTTAAGTAGATTCTAGATTTTTATAAAGTAAATTTCTTCTGGTCTTCTTTTTACCAATATAGTCTTACGAATAGGACATATTTGGTCACATAATCTAATGCAAAAGCGCCACCACCTGCAATTCTCGCTGTCCGTAATTTTTACGAAATTCACTTCTTTGGGAGAGTGAATTAACGTACACTTTTAGTTCATTTTCAATTAGTGGATGTGGGGTAAATTATGTAGGTAAATTATTGTCTTTTTCATAAAAATTTAATTTTTAAGAAAAAATTAGGTTTTGCGCACCCCATCTGAATGTCTTATATTCTAATGCTTACATTCATTAAGTACTTAAAATATTCTTCAAATAACGTTTTCATGCAATTTACCAAAATTACCATAGATAAATATGTGTAAAGCAAGCAAAAAACTGCTTAAGTTGAATAATTTTCTCTTTCTTTAAAACTATACTTTATTTTTAAATGGAAACTAATATATGTAAACATTAAATCTTATTTAACTTTTAATTCCTTTTCAAACAAGTAATATCCGCATAACTACTTAAAAACTGCTTTTAACATTTGAAAGCCATTAATATCATACCTTTAACTAAATTAAGATGGAATTCTAAGCGTCAATATGATTAATCCGGGAAAATATTTATTGAGATTCTTATTCAAATGTTTGATTAGTTATGTTTTTACTTCTTAAACACTCTAAAGCAAACTTGTTTGAAAGGAATTTAGCTATTTGAGGATTTAAGTGTAAAATCTCATCGCGATGAAAAATATGAAATGTGTATCATTTAACTATTATTCATTAAAATTAGTTATTCATTTGCATACTTTTTGAAATATTACTGAAAAAATTGTATGGATGTATTTAAGCATTTATATATCAAAATAAATTATCTGGTGATGAAAAATTATTGGTCATGTTGGCCAATCGTTGGTCAATCTAAATAAATATAAATAACTTCTTCAATTTTGGTTTTAAAGTCATTCTTTGGCCTGTAAACAAAATTAAATTTAATATGCTTTGATAGTCTCGACGTTTATAATATTCCATGTCAGTGGTACTTAGGGCAAACAGCATTCCCATTAAAGTTTAGACCTAAAGAGCACGATAGATATGTCCGCTATCAAGAATGCGAGAAATTATTCATTGCTGCCCATTGTTAAATTTTTGAGCATATATTCAATTTCAACAATTCCAAAATTACTTCTACCCCAGTCACATCAGCTCATCTTGATTCCCTGAATTCTTGTTTTATTCATATGACAGCTAATTACCTTGCTACGCCATTAGCTCCTCATCATCTCTCCATTGCATGTGGAAATGCATTCTAGACTGATTTGCCCCTCTCGGTCACTATAGTTTTTCTTGTTCTGTTTTTTTTTCACTTTTTTTCTTTCTCGATAACTATGGTTTTTCTACTTTTTTCTCACCTTTTATTATTCCATTTTGACTGCTTTTCATTTCATATTTCAAACCACTTTTGTTCATTCACGGCTGGCAAACCTTAAAATGGGCGTCTGTTTTTGAGTGTTTATTTTTGAGGTGAATGAAGTTTTTAATCAGGTAACATCAGGTTATTAAACTAACCAAATTTAGACAAGTTAATTTTTTTTAGTATTATTTGGTATTGTTATTAAGTAATGACTGTCACTTTAAAAATATATTTTCTTGCCTAAATTTATAATATAGTTAATTTCGCCATCAAATATATATAAAGCGTATAGCCGATGGATATTTCATGATAATAAAGGACTTTACAGATTAGATGAACTCATGGACATCCCATTTTCTGAAAAATCACCCATATGCAGGGTGATTAAAAACTATCTCTCTAGCATATCGTCAACTTAATATCATGCAATTAGGATACTTAAGTTCTGTTGTTGGCACACAACTTAGAAATTTCAAAAGTTTTTGTACAGTAAAATAACAGTAATAAAAATAACATTTTTTATCTGCTTCTATGTGGTTCTACTGAGAGAACGAACTTAACTCTATCTATAGTTCGTTCACCAGGAGAGTTATAAATACGTGCATATATATATATATATATATACGTTA